ACGACTATAAATTGCACGCTGATTCCAAAATAATCAATACCAATGTTGCCTACCAACAGAGAAAAGGATACCAGAAATAGATACTGTATCAAGTAATTATCCATAATTATTGAATTTGATCATTTATAATTCCAACCACGATAAAGCAATGAAATAAAAATCAAGAACTGATATCTGAATTAAAATTTACAGAACATGAAATACAATATAGCTAACCACAACATTTTTTGACTTTACACACTCCTTAGCAGTTTTATCATCTAAGAGCTTAGTATGATACTTAGCTTTTAGTATACAAGAATGATACTTTGTATTTTATTTTCTAAATAAGAGAAAGACCACATCAATCAAATGTGGATTATTTGAGAAGAAACTATGAACATAAGTGTATTTATTACTTTGGTGAATTTGGAATATATCTTTCCTTTTCATAGTTAAAACATGGAACAAGGAAAGAGTAAGTTTTTGGAATGATTAAACAATATTAATTGTCACCAGAGAGCACAGAAGTTTTTAAGAGTGCTTTTTGAATTCATTTTTGTATACCTCTACTGATAGAGATAAAGACAGTATAATTACTCATGAATGTGTATAAAACACATGGATGATTAGAGTTTCAAGGCATTGCAACATTAATCTCAATGATTCTTTTATATTTCATAATATTATTTACGTATAAAAAATCACAATTGATATCTAAAGTTAGCTCTTGTAATACACATTAATGATTACTTACTCCGTCTATTTCTATGAATGGGGAAAGGAAAAAAAAAAAGGGGGGGGGGGACTTCCCAGACACTAACATGAAAGGTATTGAATCATGAGCCTGCAAATCAATGTTGCCACTGTCAACTGATGAAATCCTCCTGGTGCACCTGTGGGGCATGTGTTGGGCATACAGGGTTTCTTTATAAGAAGCCAACAAGTCTGCTGTGCCCAATTTGTAGTGTGTCCTTGAAATGTGCCCACCCTTGCCCTTTGCGATGCTGTCATTGACCCGCAAGGCGAACTGTGTGCAAGTGTGAAAATGATGTAATGACCATTTGTGTCCTCCCCAGGTCTTTGGAGAAGGTTATCTTCTCTCATGGAACTACACACCCCTCAATATCTTGCTGCCCTTTGCTGACAGCCCAAGCTTTATCACTGTGTCACCTGGATAGCAGAGCAGCTCAGAATTAATCCATTAATGCTCAAATTAATTATGTCTGCATAATGCTTCCGAAATCACAGTCATTGTAGAGGCTCTCTGATAGCATGTTTTTGCAACTTATAGAGCTAATCCATTGGTATGTTGCAATCAATACTACCAGAGTACTCCAAAGTGCCAACTGCTGGTACAAGCATTTTTTTCTACAAAAAGTAGCTAGAGCCGAACTGCATATGGCCCATCAGCTTTGGTGTGTACCAACCATTTGCTTTACACCAGCCTCTCCCTCCAACTTAATCACAGGCATATCATAGCTAAGCATGGTTTTAGATGAAGGTATGAACCGCAAGTCATGAATACACCCAGGCCAGGAGTGTACAATGCTCTAGCAATTTTGGCTAAATACACATCTAGCATTCAAGAACACCAAAACTAACTTATGTTTCGTTTAGATGTCTATGTCTATTGAAGAAATAAAATTTGCATGGCAAAAAAAGCAAATTTGAGTTAACCAGAAACAAGCATCCCCAAATTAGGATGCTGGGAATAAACGGCTTGTAGTTGGCTTATGTGTGACATTCAGTCTTTCTTATCTGATTCGCAGTTAATGCAAGAAAACTGCTATACAATTATGACTTGAAAGAGTAAGCATATAAACGAAACATATTTACGTATTACACACAAACCTAAATACATTTAAATAGCAAATATTTCTGGTAGTAGCACAATCATGCTACAAATGGCACGAGCTGTCATTGGCTTAGATACAGTCACACACATTCATGAACACACCTCTCGTCACTAGATCTATAAATAGCAAAAAATAAATAGTAGTAAACACAAAATAGATCATTTCATTTATGATGAGAATATAAAAACTTGACATTTTTTCTACATGCAGCAATTTTTGTATTTTGAAATGATATCATGTAAAATTAACGAAAGAAGTACCAATACTACAATAAATCATGATTTAAGGAATTAAATGCAATTTAATCGATTAACATTGAAACAAAAATGATTAACATCTTACTATACAATTTCACTGCAAGATGTTAATCATTTTTACAGTTTGTTTACTCTAAAAAAATTTATGTGGAGGCATGAAGAAAATTAGGTATTTATTTATTACTCCAATATTTTCCCAATGTCTATTACCCCAAGTATATGATTATTATAAATATTGCCATGAATATTTTATTTCAATTTTAAGAAATAGGATCAAATAAAATGTTTTCATCACACTGTAGTGCTGTAATTTTATTTTATGGTTTTGTTTTGCCTGTCAACAAAACCTACTAACAATTTTCATGAAAAAGTTACAGGAAGAACATTATTCTCGCTATTAAATTTTCGATTTCCGAAAACAATTTATATAAATATATATATATATATATATATATATATATATATATATATATAATATAATAATATAATATATAAATAAAACTACTTCACAAAAAAGTACCATAACACTGAAAATCTAAAAAACACGACAGCATAATGAAAAAGGCAACAACACAAGAAAATGAAAGTAAATTCAGAAAATATATCTCAGGATGAACCAGAAATGCTTTACGCATTTCAATCTAAACCTGTATTTCACATGTTTCTATTATTAAATCCATCCATTCTATATTTCCTACTGGGTCGCACACTCCAACCATTACTTTTATAGTAGCACTTCATCAAAAGTATTAAAACCTCACCTCATTCAACCTCTCACATGCAACATATCAGGCAAATGTTACTCACCAGACCTCCCAGTGGCAGTGCGAATGACACACACTGAGCCACCGGCAGCTGCTGTCAATTGTACACGCACAAAAAGCAAGCTGTTACACAATTACCAACACCATAAGCTCATCCATTTAACATGCTACTGTGCCTTCACATCCATTCTACACACTAGCGTAAAGAATACCAACAAATAGGTAGACATAAGGATTTGTAATGGTTTCTGAGTTGAAACTCTCTCAAACAATCACAATATTCATTAAAGCAAAATAGTTATTTTCTTCACTATCAGCTGCGCAGACAAGTGAATTTCAAATATGCAGTCACCTGATAAACATTTTTGATACTTTATATTTCATTCAACACTCATTAAAAATCACTTTCATTAAAAAAAGAGGGTCTTCCTGGATAGCTGAGGTCACTAAGGCTGAAGGGCCTTAGCTGCTTCACGCCTGAATGGCCGCAGGTTCGAATCCCGCCAGGGGCATGGATGTTTGTGTGTGTCCTTATACAGTCTTCTAACATTACCCCCAAAATTCAAAATCCAATACTAATTTCAGTGGTTGCTCTGTCACCTAGTAGTTGAAAAGCAATCTTAAAAAATAAAAAACATAAGAAAGGGGGAAGTATCAAATTAATCTGAAATATATTTTCTTGAGGCATGTCTTTGACAGATTGATTTCATTTCTTTACCTCCCAAAACTTAAAACATATTAAAAATATGAATTGAAATATACATTGCACAGAAAGCAAATGAAAGACTTACATGCAACAATCCGAAGTATACAAAGCATGAAAAATATTACAAATTTACACAATTTGTGATGAATGAATGGGATCACAATGATTGAATTTAAATAGTGATCTATAAAATGCAAACAATACTTAAAATAGGTAATTTTCTGAGTGTTCAGTAAATTTCCTATAGCCTTTCATGCATTTTTAAAATTAAGTATCAAAAAATAAAATATTAAACAGACTAAAATTTTAAAAGCTCTTGAAATTTACAACTGATATATTAACCTGCCAGATGCAATAAATAAATTTGAATATAAACTGGATTATGAATGAGTTAAACTTCAATTTAGAAACTCCTGTGAGTCAAGTAAAATCTCTTGATATATCACAAATTGTAATTCCTACACTTCAAAAATCCAACTTACATTTAATAACACTGCCACTCCAGTAGCCACTAAAAGCAATTTTCAACACAATAGGAAAGCAAATGAAAGGGAAAATAATGTGTATAAACAAACAAAAACTACACACACACACACACAGGATTTTCAAAAGTAAAGACAATGGGACTTGGTAAACTTGTTTTGAAAACAAGAATGAAGAAATTTTAAGAATACATTCTCCACATACTGAAGAGGATGCAGTACAATGAAAACAACACACATTGATCATTCAAAATATAAACAATTAGAAGACCAATCAAAATTTGAGCATTGAATTGAAGGAAAATATGATTAATTCAAGTAAACTTCTAAAATGACATAAGTCCACACTGCAAATGAATACCAAAAAATAAGCAACACACAAGAAGATATGTTGCCTAAAACATTAATAAGAAATTTATCTATAAGAAAAATACTAATAATGCAGTCTACTTATTTACCTACAAATATTTGTAATGTAACCATTGCAAACATATTTGGAATAAGCAAGTTAGCCACAGATTCACGAGAACAACTAATTCATGCATAACTCAGTCTCTTTCATCAAACTTTCATTCCAGACTTGGTTTCTACACAACTTATCAAAGAAATTGTAAAAAATGATAAAGTTGCAAAACAGCACAGAATCAATGGATGGATAAATAGAAATAACTTCTCCGAGTACTTTATCTTCTGTCCGGAATCCTCCTCCTCCTCCACTCACATATTTACATCTAACAAACCTCCAAGACCCTTTTTTGATTTTTGCCAATGTTAAAATGATGACAACAGGATGATCACTTAGATGGAAAGGATAATATACCCATACCAAGTTCGCAGTGCAAAGCTGCAAAATTCCTTTATTTAAATAAAGGAATATTAAAAGTACAATTCCAACTTTAGAAATATACTATTACAACTGTCGACATAACAGGAGTAAGTAACTCTGGACTCACCTCCAGAATCAGCTATTTCCATTTCCAAGCTGCGCATTGGCCGAGAGATGCTTTTACGTTTCGAAGGAGAGTGCTTGAGAGCTGCAAAAGTAACCAAGCAAATAGTTTAGATGAGCAATAACGGCTACTAAATGAAATGCATAATGTTCTTCATGAACAAGGGACATTAATTTAGAATGTTTAACCTTCATTTAATGTGAATCCATAGCATAAGATTTTAACACCTTTATTTACATTATTTGTTTGGACTTATTCAATTAACATGAACGAGAGTACACATTTTATTAAACCGAAGGGAAAAAAATGAAAACAATGAAAGTGTTACTACAAGCAATCATTACCTGGATCAGGACGTCCTCATCTTCACTGTTTAAAAATTCTTTTTCAAATATAAGTACATAAAAAAAAAAAGCTAACAATGATTTTTAACAATGATACTTTACTACCTATTCACAAATGACAACTACAATCATAGTAAGGAATAACATTTTTTAAAATAATTATTTCAAAGCAACATAGATCACATCATATTGTAAGCACATCTACTTTATTACTGGACACTAAGAGACCTAGTCTGAGTTATTTTCTATTTAGCACAATTGGGTAAATTTTGTCAATATTCGCCACAATAATATGTTTGTCCCTAGCTCATGAAGCAACATACTGTTTGTAAATCAGAGACAGAATAGTGAGTGTAAATTTCTAAATCAAATCAATCAGCACACCACACATTGTTCTATAGGACACAAATAAAATATTATTCCACGAGTTCACTTCACTGTCCTGTCTTTGATTAAAACATTTGTTAAAGGTCAGTGCTGCGTATTAAACACACACACACACACACATTTGTATTAGTAGAGCAAGTCAGAACTGCAATTAGCAACCAAAAGCCTATGGAGCCTTTGTTCATGAAATAACTAAACATTGCTGTTCAGTGAAAATAGGCCAGTTTTCATGAGCACTTGTGTCCTTTTAAACTGCAAGGGAAGTACACTATATAACATAATATATATGTATATGAAGATTAAATACAGTAAGACATTTCCCTGTACCGAATAATAGTGCTATAATTTAATGATAAAATGAAGTTGGCAAAAGGTACCGACAATGAAAACCAACAAATAGGAGGTAGTGGTAAAGCAGCAATAGAGAAAAGAGGGAACATTAACACGCGTAATTCATGAAAATTCAGGTCAAACAAGCACCAAAAAGTGCCACATAACGGGAGGGCTTACAATGAGTAAAAATTAACAAACAAACAAAATTAAGACAAATAATCATGCATACAATTACTATGTAACAATGCGAAATGTGTCATAATACATCCTGAAATAGCAGCCCTTGATTAAATTGACAAATTCCTTTTGTTAAATGGGATTTGCTTGGGACACTATAAGAAATAGTTGTGAATAGTCAGAACGACTTAAGAGCAGGCTGTGTTGTCTGAAGGTTTTTGAAATTTTATTCACTGGAGAAGTACTCTTCAAAAACATGCAAACGTATGTAAAAATATTGAATATACAATATCTTGTAGCAATGGAAGAGTATGTAAATATTTCAAAGTTATCTCATGTCACCTTATAAATGAATAAAAATTGGTTTGTGTCTTTACCAGTCTATGTTTTAGGACCAACTACAGTAGGACAAATAAGATCAAGAAGGAAAGTTTTTCAAGAATTTATAATAATCTGGAATACTACGTGAAATCAATCCATGAAATCTGGCCAATTGATATTGAGAACTACACACATAAGGGTCCATTTCTTGTTGGTTACAACAAATATTTACAAAAGCAAAGATTTCAGGTATTTACTAAGAGCCAACACTGAACAGAGTTTTTTATACTCTTATGACAGTGTGGTAATAGCATATACCTGAAAAACATCTTCAAACAAATTTACAGATCAACATAACAGAAATAGTTTTACACACACAACATTTAACACTTATCAGCACAACAAAAAACACCATGCATGCAAATACATACCAAAGACTCATACTAAGCACAAAAATGTTAAAATACATGTAAATCAATACAAATAAAAGAATTCCAATAGTTTTGTACACCAACCCATCAAAGCAAAATTAGTTAGATAAAGTAAGTAGTGGCTGCAATTCCACACTAAAATATACCACAGATTTCTCAACCTGATTATTTTCAAATTTATAGACAACACACCACTAAAATAGCACAGTTAATAAAATTCATTAGCACAGTTGTTGTGAACTTACATCAATAAAATTTATTATCTACTCCGAGAAAAAATTTCAGGTTGAGAAATGAAAGCTACAAAATAAAAGAGTAAGAAGTGGTCAATTTTCAGGCTATTTTTAACGGTGGCAAGTGATTATGTGAGTAAAAATATGTCAAAACATGTGACGCATTAAGAAAAATCTTCAACAAAAGCAAGCTCATGCAAAACATAAAAAACATAATTAAACAGTTAACAAAACACAATTATGGTTGTTATATCATTGTTTTAATCCCACAAGTGGTGTCAATTGTAAAGATGCTAAATATTGAAAGTAGGTAGGACTTGTTTGTTTTCTGATGAGAATAAAATCTTCAACCGTTCTATTTCATATGAATTTAACATAAATTATCAGTTGAATGTAGGAAATAAGCACAAAATAGAAAATAAAAACAACTTGCATGTAGCTCATATGCCATATCGTATGTAATGGATTCTTAAATGAGAATGAATTCAGTCATTCACTATACACACATAGGTTCAAGTGTACTATTTAGTAAATGAAATATACGCAAAAGTCTATAATAACAAATATAGTATGCAAGACAACATGTAAGTAAAAACACGCAAGTCACAAAGAAATAAAAAACACTGACAATAAGAGCAAATTTTTATCAGAAGAATACAACCGATACAAAACAGTTCATTCAGTAACCACATTACAATGTTAATAAGGCCAAATACAGAATACCAAAACCAATAAGTTTCCAAATTGGTGTAAGGACAAGTAAAATTGAAGAAATTAGGTTAGGTTACTTAAATCTACAGGGCTGATACCATGATACTGACAAATAACGGCAGAAATGTATGTACAAGAAGAAACATTAAAGCAAATAGTTTGTTCCACCACCTTTTATCAAATTCATGAGACCACGATGGTTACAGAACTCAAGAATCCTTTCACTATTTCCCTGTTAGCAATTAACAGCAAATAAAATAAAGAGGAAACCAGAAAATAAACATCCCAACTGATATACAAAGCATGTTTAAATCAATGGACTGTGATAAAATAGGCAATCTGAAAAGAAATTATAGAACCATTGAAGAGCATGCTCAGAAAAAAAGAAAGGAAGCAGTCCAATCAACAATCAGGCATCCCAACGATTTCACCCACACTTAATATCACTATTTTTAGAAAGTTTAAATGTGTCCCTAATTTAGTATACAATAATATTAATTGTTATCATTTTGTAAAGTATATGAAATATAAAAGCCAAAAAGATAATTCTAAAAAATGTTCTACACGAGTCATTGAGTGTCAAACATATTTCTTATTTTGTGAGCATACATTCAGAACAATTCTACTTAATACAAGTGTATTACAGAACAGTTAACTTCAGCTAATGAATTTGTTGTCAATGCATACATTTAATAGCAATTTTTTCCAGTAAGTTTCAGACATTAAAACTTCCATTGATAGTTAAGTATTAGCAACAGGCAACACCCTCACTCTAAAATGGTTGTAATAATGTTAACTAACTGCAATTCATTTTTTTATTTTATCTTCTTAACTCTTATACCTTTATTATAAATTCCTCAAGGCAAAAGTTGTTTATTCATTCTTAATAGCAGATTATCAAATAGTATTGGAATTACACTTGCTTCAACGCATCTGACAGATTCAAATGCTATTTCTTACCATTGAAATTGGAAGTCATTTTGTCAGGTTTTCGGCAGTTGGGAACTACAGTACTGTGTTCAATCACAAAATTGTCATTTTTATAAGATATATTTAGTCAACCTTCTTATGATACAGAATTCAAAGGGGGAAAACAAGGATGTGGTTTATTTTTTAATTCTTTGCAATGAAGTAATATTGTTAAATAATTCAATTTAGTGAGCTACTGATGCAAAGAAAGAATTTAAAATGACAAGACAAGACCAGTACATTGCACAAGAAAATCACATCACACTGTATACAGTACCTTGTTTGAAGAATAATTTTCTCATCAGATAAAGCAATATTTACAATGTGCCTGAAGATGCAATAGCTACCTGAATGAAAAAAGAGAGTACTTTTCCCTAAATTGAACACCCAGTTCACAAAACTGCTGATAGAAAGTTCTTATGAATGCTCACAAAATATTGAGTGTATATTCCTGATTCTCTTAGAGCAAATCCAATATACTTTTTCCGGTGTAAATGAGGGTTTATGCTATTTACAACTGTCTCTTGTGAAGAACAAATCTGTATCTCTTTTAAAATATCTTTCAATATAGCATTGTAACAAACATGATGATAAATTCAGCTACTTTAAAAATACAGTCCCCTAATAGGCCTCCCAGAGTTATTTCTGGAATATAATTTAAAAAAATTTTCCCCCACTATCTGTTATTGAACTTCATTTAAATTTTGAAAAATAAACAAAGAACAATCAGTAAAAATAACTCTCTTCAACTGTACCTATAATCATACTACATTACCAAAATATTGAAATGATATCTTGTAAAAAATATTTTAAAATGTTTCCTGCAAAGAAACACACACGTAATTACCCTATACATGCTGCATTCCTTCATTGAGAGAATACAGTAAACAAATTATGAAACAAAGTCACGAAGAAAAAATTAGAACAAAATTGAAGACCACCAAGACAAGATGCAGGTGGGACTTATAGGTATGCTAACCACTAAAATACTGGCAGGTGTTGTTTATTAATCTTAAGTCACTCATTATATTTTTCAATTTATTATACGAAAAAAAGAATTACAATGGTTATGACTCAGCTTTCTGAAAATATCCGTTACTATTCTCTAGTAATTAACAAGAAAAAATTTCAGGAATTAAGGATTCTGTAGATAAAATCTTCCCCGTATATTACATAAT